AGGGGCTTACGTAATCACAGAGCAACCACGCATGCGCAGTCTGGTCACGCAGACACGCAGACACACACACACACACACACACACACACACAGAGCTGTTGTTTTTCAGTATATCTGATAACATTAGGCCAATATACTGGCTGAAGGAATAAAGACGAGCAGCTCTGGCTCTCCGGCTGTGCTGCTGCTGATGATGATCGGCTCAGAGTCCTTTCTTCACCCTGTGGGGGAACTCAACTCACAACAAATGAACGGACCCCTCCCGGTGCCCCCTTGGGAGGCTCGGCCCTGACACTCACACTCACCAAAGAGGACTTGGAGTTCCTGTTTACAGGGTGCCAACTGCAGCCGACCCACCATGTTGGCCTTCGCCGCTGGTCTCTGGTCCCTCCTACCCCAGCCGCCACCCGTGGGGAGCCAGCCCATTCCTCCAAGCTTTCCTCACCCAGGCGCCACTGGTAGGGGACCAAGATCCACTACTTTGTTAAGGTCAAACAAGGATGAATGACAAGGACACAGTCAATTTAACATGCTAGCCGCCAGGGGGCGCTCGCCTCTAGTACAACCTTTGTTCACCCAAACACAGGTAGGAGCAATCGAAGTTAACGCAGGAGTCATCCGCTTTCCAGCGTCACTAGTACATTCTCAGGTCAACAACTCAGCTGTCCTGCTTTTTAGAACCTGCACTTGCCATCACCCTGAAGTGCAGCCTTTCTCCATTGTGCTCACAGAGGAGGCCAGTTAGGCCTCAGTTCCCATCTGGTCTCCCACAGGAGGGGATTGACGGGTAATGCGTTGTGTGTTTATTTATTGTTACTTTTATTAGCACACGTTTGCAATAATGAACACACTCGGGGCTGGAGATTTAGCTCAGTGGTTCTGCCGCCAGCTTCACAAACACAAGGACCAGAGTTCGATCCCCGGTACAAAAATAAATAAATAAGGAGTCGGGCGTGGTGGTGCACGCCTATAATCCCAGCACTCGGGAGGCTGAGGCAGGAGGATCGCTGTGAGTTGGAGACCAGTCTGGGCTAAACAGTGAGTTCCAGGTCATTCACAACTACATAGTGAGACCCTATCTCAAAAAAGCCAAAAAAATAAAAAATAATAAAAATAAATAAATAAAATAACGAAAGCCATAATGAACACACTCATCTTGGGAGCTAGTACATACATATATCACATCACCTTTTCACTTTCCCTTCCCTTCTGTCCTGACCCTCTATCCCTAAATTCCCTTCCAATCTGTAAAAGGTTTACCTCCTTTTTTCCCATTGACCTTTTTTTTTTTGGTGGGGAGTACGGGGATTGAACTCAGGTCCCTGTGCTTGCAAAGCAGGCCTCCCATTGTCTTTTTATTTTGCTCTTTATTTATACTTTGGGTGTCTCGTGTAAGAGAAACTGCAATATTTAACTTTCCATGCCTGAATTATTTTGCTTAGTATTACATTCTTAGGGTGCATCCACTTTCCTACAAATGACTCCAATTTATCCTTTATCACTGAGAGGTACCCAAAATATAACACTTTCATTACCCATTCATCTGTTAATGGACATATTAGCTGTTTCCAAGATGTAGGTATTGTGAGTTGTACAACTATAAACATGAATCACTGTAATATGGAGCCTTAAACTCTTCCAGAAAGATACCCAGAAGAGGTATTTCTTCATAGAGGAATTCCTATTCTTAGTTCACTGAGGAATCACCATTCTGATTTCCATAATGATTGAATTGGTTTGTATTGCCACCAACCATGCACAAAGGTTCCCTTTCTCCCACAACCTCACCAGTGTTTCCGGTTTCAAGCTCATGATAACAGCCATTCCTTTCTAGAGTAAGATGGAAGGAAACACAGGAATTAGCCGTACTTCTCTACAATGGCCAGTGGTGCAAAGCACTTTTTCATGTACTTATGGCCAATTGTACTTCTGAGAATCGTCTATTCACTTCAGTTATCCATTTTTGATTAGTTCTTTTGTTTTGGGTGGTCTAAGGGTTTTTGTTGTTGTTGTTGTTGGGTTTTTTTTGTTTTGTTTTTTTTAGTTCTTTATATAGTCTAGATAGTTCTCTAAGGAATAGCTGGCAATTTTTTTTCTCATTCTGTTAGGTTGCTTCCCTTACTGTGCAAAAGATTTTTAATTTGATATAATCTCATTTGCTGATTATTAGCATTATTTCTTATGCAATTGGGGTTCTGTTCAGAAAGTCTTGCCTATCCCTGTCTTCAAGAGTTTTGTCTCATTTATCTTGCAGAAGATTCCATGTTTGTTTTAATATCTAGGTCTTTAACCATTTTCATTTTATTTTAGGATAAGGAGAGAGATGCAGATCTAGATTACTTCTGCATGGGAAAAAAACAGTTATCCCAGCATCATCTTGTGAAGAGGCTGTCTTTTCCCCAGCCTCTGTGGTTGGCCCCTTTGTCAAATATCAGATGGCTCAGGCCAGGCATTTAGCTCAGTGGTTCGGTGTCCTCCCTCGCAAGTACAAGGACCTGAGTTCGATCCCCGGTACCAAAAACAAAAAAAAACACAAACAAATATCAGATGGCTGAATGTGCCTGGGGCTGTTTTTGCACCCTCTAGTCCATCAGTCTGCATATCTGATTTTGTACCAGTAATATGCTGTTTTTCTCCCTGCAGCTTTGTAGTATAACTTGAAACTCATGATTTTAATACCTTTGGCTTTGTTCTTGCTGCCCAGAATTGCTTTTTTTTTATTCTGGGTCTCTTCTGGTTCCAGATAAATTTTAGTAATTTTTTTTTCTAGTTCTGTGAAGAATGCTATTGACATTTTCGATGGGATTGCATTAAATCCCTTTAATAAGGGCACTTTGACAATTTTAGTTCTGCCTATCCATGAACAGGGAATGTCTTCCCATTCTCTGATGGTCCCCCTGCCCTCATTTTTTTAAAGATACTATAGTTTTCATATAGAGGTCTTTAAATTTCTCGGTTATCTTAATTCCTAAGTATTTTATTTTTCTTGACACTACTGTGAATGGAATTGTTTTCTTATCTTTCTCAGAGAGTTCATAATAGTTGTACAGGAACATTATTAATTTTTGAGTGCTGATTTTGTAGTCAGCAACACTACTGAATTTGGTTTTTAATTCCAGGAGTTTTTTGGTAGAATTTTTTGGGTCTTCTAAGTAAAAGATGCTATTTGCAAATAATGATAATATGACTTCTTCCTTTCCTACATGTACCCCTTTCAATTGATTCTCTTGCCTGATTGCTGTAGCTAAAGTTTGAAGTAAAGCAATACCTCAGTTTATGAACAGTTGTTTGAAAACAATTTGGTTTGCAAACAAAAGTGTTCAACAAAATTTTACTTCTCTTCACAAACACCGCATTGGTTGACAAACACGATAACAGCTATCTTCCCCACACAAACACAAACGCAGCCACCTTCCCCAAAAGGGTGAAACAAATTAAATTCATAAACTGCGGTACTACTATAAACAGCTAAGTTAGGTGGAAATGTTTTAGGCAGTCAGATAGGGCTGAGACTGAGACAGAGTCAGCACAAAAATGAAAACACATTACAGCTATGGCTGGAGACGAATCTGAGACCAGGCCTGCATATTTCTGCAAAACAGATAAGTGGTAACACCTGGCCTAATGAAATCTAGAGAGACATGAGTCACTCCAGTGGGTGACCATTACCCCTGGACCCATCATTTCCTAGAAAAAGACTTTGTTCTTTCTGTGTACACTTGTCACATGACTTATTCCCCCATTGGATCACTGTTACCTAAGCACTATACTTGTAACCTTATTGACTGTTCATAGTTTTAGCACATATTGTACCCACCTGGTTTTTGCTCTATGGAATTTCCCCTGAAAAATAGGCTACCCCCCTGGGACCCCTCCTACCTGTGAGGAGTTATCCACTCAGTAAATATTTTCCTACTCTTAACCTCCACTTTTCCTAGAATTCAATTCGATTTTAGAGAATGTGAACTCTCTGTATCAGACACCTAACAGGATGGAATTCTAATATTTCCTTTATACCCTTTGGAGGTCCTCTTTCATGTCCTTCACCCTCCCTGTATCAGTACCACTGTATTATGTTGAACAGGAGTAGCGACAGTGGATATCCTTGTCTTGGTCCTGATTTTAGAAGGAAAGCTTTCAATTTTTCCCCATTTAATATGATGTTGATTTGTCATAAAGGCTTTTAACGGATGGGGAAAAGGTCCTTCCTTACCTATTTTTTTCTGGGTTTTTTGTTTGTTTGTTTTTTTCTCATCACAAATGGATGTTGGATTTTGTCAAAGGCTTTTTCTGCATCTATTGAGATGATCTTGTGATTTGTTTTCCCCCTTGTCTATGTTTGTGTGATGTATTACATTTACTGATTTGCGTATGTTGCTTCTCTGGAATGAAGTCTACTCGGTCGTGATATGGTCTTTTTAATGATTTTTTTAACAGTCAAAAATAGGTTTATTAGAATGTTTTCAGTTGTAATCAAAGTCAGAAACATTTAGTTTTTGTTACACCCATAAACATGTGGAAACTGCTTACAGAGCCATCGGATTATAAAAAGAATGACACCCTTGCGAACATTGGTGGAATGGTCATGGTTCTCCTTTAGCATGATGAATGATTTGGTTCTGTGCATAGGCTTTTGGACCCATGCCGACCCCCATCTTGATGCAATGATGTAAGGCCTTATCCCACTAAAATATTAGTATGAAATCTGTCAGTGTTTGACTATATGCACAAATAATGTATCCAGTTTCCAGTTAGATCCTTGGAATACAGCAAAATAGTTACCATCACTTTATACAATTATTCAAAGTACATTTTGTTGAAAGGGAAGAAGATAACTGGATATTCTCAATGCTCCATTTTGAGGTGATACTTGCCTCTTAGTTTCGTGAGAAAGAATTTTTGAAAGTGGTAGACATAGGCTTCGTGTAAATTACACAGCAATCTTTCATTATTCTTTTAATAAAATTTATTCCAGAGCTTGTTTAATGAGGAGCTCTGTGATCAGATCATAACGGTAAGAATCATGATCACTCGCAAGAGGAAAACAGCAGCCAGAGCCACGATGGCTTTTATTTTGCATCGGCGCTACCACATTTGCCTTCGAAGCTGTTTGGATCCGTTGCTAAAAGCAGTGGCGTTATCCGATAGGATTTTTACATCACACAGAGGATGTAGAGGATTACACGACATAACAGGATTCTTTTGTCTGATTTGTCCTGTGGTTCATCTAGGCTCTCCCCTCTTTTAACTTCCTTTGCAAGATTTCCTTGCATGACAGCAATAACTTCACCCGCCTGGTTCCAAACATGCTGCATTTTATCATCTACAGTTCCAAATCTTGGTCCAGACGGTCCCCAGAAAAAAAGTCCTCTTCTTCATCCGAGTCATCTTCCGAAAGATTTCTCCTTCCACTTTTCGCATAACCAGTGACATCGTCATCGTTTAGGGGGCACTTGAATGTGGGAGGCATACTTTTTACCCCCGGAGAAATTTTCTAGCTCCCAGTAGACTAAGTGTTCACCTCCCGAGGCTCCGGGGAGCTCCTCTCTCGGGCACCCGCGGGCTGCCAGGGGTAAAGAGTGGGGAACCACAGAAGACTGGTGGGGGACAGAAAGGGGCAGTGGGCGTGTCCTGATGGTTTGTTGCGGTCTGTTTGCCAGGATCTTGTTAAGAATTTTTGCACCCATATTCATTAAGGAAATCAGTCTGTGATTTCCATTTTTCATTGGGTTCTTGTCTGGTTTTGGAATCAGGGTGATGTCAGCTTCCCATATGGATGTGCTCCTTCGCTTTCGATTTCCTTCCTTGGAGGAGTACTGGTGTTAGATCTTCCCTGAAGTTCTCATAGAATTCATCAGTGAACCCAGTGGGAGCTAAACTTTTCATATTTGGTAAGTTTTTATCATTGCCTCAATTTCATTGCCTGCTACTGGGTTATTCAGGGTTCTTACATTTTCTTGGTTCAATTTTGGTAATTCATATGCATCTAGGAATCTTTCCATTGCCCCTGATATTATCATTTGATTGGATTACAGGTTTTCAAAGCGGTTACTAATAATCTTCTGTATTTCAGCGATGTCCTTTTATTTCACCTTATCTAATCTCATTGACTTGGCTTTTTCTTATTTGATTATATCAGCTAAGAGAAAGGTTTCACCTGTGGAGGGACAATTTCTTAGCAGCTTAACTCACCCCACCTACTGTTGTAGTGAACCTCTTTGCCTACCTCACTGTCCTGATCAACATGAGCTTCTTGTTGACCAGCGGCAAAAATGGGGTCCTGTTTTGCATGTCATAGCTGGCCTGTAGGGAAGACTGGACCTAATCATTTTGACTGTGAAGTGATTTTTCCCCAGAATTATGGAGAATGGCTCCAGACAGTCCTGTTCTATAAATGTGACACAACTATACCCCTTCTAGGTATCTTCTGAAAAAGTTAAAATCTTCATATTACAGGGATACACATATACTTGTAACTGAAATAAAAGTTTCACAAAATAATTACCCTTACTACCTATGATAAACTGTAATCCTTTCTGTTCTATTACATTTGCTTTTTTCTTTTTCAACTAATGCCATCTCTAGGTGCAACTTTTTTTTTGGAGAGGGTACTGGGGATTGAACTCAGGACGTTGTGCTTGCGAGGCAGGCGGCAGAACCACCGGGCTAAATTCCCGGCCTTCCAGGTGCAACTTTTATGGAATGTTAAGTTTTCTTTTGGTTTTTATATTTTCCACATCAAACTTTTCCTCTTCTTTCTGTAAGGGGAATTGAGTCCAGAGCCTTTCCACCAAACTACATCCTCAGCCCTCTTACTTTTTACTTTCAGTCTAAGTTGCTTAAATGCACAAACTCAGTTCAAACTTGTGATCTTCTTGCTTCAGCCTCCACCCCAACCCCCTAGACTGCTGGGATTATGGGAGTGCACTGCCCTACCTGGTTTATCACGATTTCATCCTCATCATTTCTTGCTTTTTCTCCCTAAGGATGCCAGTGGCCAAACTTGTATCCCCTTTTGCCTTGGTAGCAGTCATTCCTACATTTTCTCCTTTTCCACCTATGGTCAATCATGTATTATCTACTGTTTGTTCTGAATTATCAAAGCCCAGAGCACACACAGGAAAAAGCCAAGTCCATAATGTTTTTTTTAAAAATACTACAAAAATGGACGCTGGCCATGCTCTACTCACTTCCAGTATCTCTGCCAAAAGGCTGTTTGGTTTTATTTCACAATGAAAAGTCAAAATTATAAGACTGCTGTGCACGATATTCTTAGAAATCTGGAAGCCAGGAATTTTCACTCTTTCTCCACAATCTTCTTACCTGAAAGTCAACATACAGAGAAAGCTCTTGCTTATGTTATAAAGGCTGGGGAATGAACGGAAACCAAGCAGTAGAGTGGGGACTAAATGGCCTGGTGCATTACGTCCTGTCCACATCATGTCCTATCTCTTTGGGCTTAGGGAGAAGCTTGATAGTCTTCCTTTGGGTTGGGGTCTCATTCAGGATGTCGCCATCTCTGCTCCTTGGCTTTTCCACAGGATGCCTGGCCTCATCCCAGAACCCAGGGCAGCAAGGAAGTCCCTGCCTGGTCTCACACCTGCTTGGGGTATGCACATGGCTGCAGCAGAGGTCTTGGGGCCCTGTCACCCCTAGGGCTGGACCAACCTGACAGCACGTTGACTGCTGTGATTTTGCCACACCCTTCTATGGAGACAGAAGGTTCAGAGGCGAAACCATTTTCTCAACGCTATAGAGTAAGGAGCCTCCCCGGTTCGCAGGCCCAGTACCACTCAGCTTAGCCCTGCCCTCTGCCAGGTCTTCTGCCTACTCCTGAAGTCACCCGCTCATGTTACCACTGTTCTTCAGGCTCTACGTCAGCCTTTCCCCACTGCACACCTCCCTGGTAATGCGTGCAAACATGCAGGGCTCTCCACAGACAAAAGAACCCAATCTCTCAGAGGCAGCCAGAGAAAGGAAATCCTTGTACCACAGCAGCACTGTGCTGCTCTACAGGGTGGCTTTGTTTTCCCACTTAAGAACTCCAGTGAGTTTCTGCAAACAACCTTGAAGAAAAAGGCAGGGAGGGTCGGGTGGGTAGGAATCTCTCTTAAAAGTTCAGTTAAAATTTTTCTGAAGCAAAATCATAAAAATACTCTACAATCCAAATGGCATGGTGTGGAACACAAGCTTTAAGAACAGCTGTTGTCACAGATGCACCTTTTGATGGGAAAATAACATTTGGGCAGAGAGTGAAAAATTAAATCCCTGAATTTGTCATTTTTATTCTAATGGTTCGTGGGGAATTCAAGATGATAGCCTTATGGGATGACCACCCCTAGTGGAGTAGTGGAGCTTCACATTCATTTAATCTTCAACAAGCCCGGGGGTGAGAATTAATCCCCCCAGAGTAGGGAGGAGAGACTCCGAGAGCTCCAGAAAGTTGTCCAGCCAGAATATGAAAGTGTGCTAGTTTCATGGTACCAAGGTGCCTGAAAGTGGAATGTTGCTCTCATCTCTTCTTGTCACTTCAAGGTGATGACATTTAAAATTTCAACCAGAGGGCGGTGGTGCACGCCTGTAATCTCAAGCTACTCAGGCCAATGAGGCAGGAGGATCTTGTTTGAAGCCAGCCTAGGCAATGCAGCAACACCACATTTCCAAAGAAAAACACAATTTCATCCACATAACCCATTATGGTGCCAAAAGCAATTTGCACAATTGTCAGCAACCGAAGCGTTGCCCGGTCCCCAAACAAGTACTGGTAATATAGACAGCATCACACTGATTTCAAACCTCCTGGCAATGCCAGTCTTCTTGTAGGATTGTATGTGAGAGCCCTTTTCATGTGTTAGTCATTTTACATACCAGGGGATTCAAAGGGAAAACGTATTTTCCCTTGGGCAGTTACATTCCAAGACAATGTGTACATATTGGATACATGCATTTCACTCACTTGTTCTCTTAAAAACAGCAGAAAAAAATTCCACACATGCCAAAAAGGGAAATCATTCTCTAAAAAATATTCATCTCTTTTGGTTTCCTGAGTTCTATTTTTTTTCTTCCCCCTATCAATCTAAATGTCTCAAGGGTAAGAACAGCCAGTCATGAATACCTACAACAGGGCTGGGGATTTATCTCAGCGGCACCACAACTACCTCACAAGCACGAGGTCTTGACAAAAAAATAAAAACAAAAAACCCTACAACAGTGACTTTAAGGTTTCAACCTGGAGCTTCTGTTCTCTCATTTTCAAATTATCTTCCAACCCCAAAGGCAGTGCTTCCCCAGGGCAAGACTAACTTGCACCCAGTACACAGCCCTCTTCACAAATAAGTAAATGAGGCTCTCTGAATGTCTCCTAGTGTCGGCAGCAAAATCTTTCCCGAAACCATGCATACATACAAATACCACTTCTCAGAAGACCTCTCTAGTTTTGCATAATTTAATAAAATTGATCATATAGAATTACTGTTGTTTATTAAAAATATAGTCAGGGAGAAGGAAGTCAGTGCATTTATGCAATTTTACATATACATTTGTAGTTTGAGGTTCCATTATTTCAACAGTTCATATAAATCACTGTTTCAGATAAAAGAAAAAGCACTTCACACAGATCAGTAATTGGTAGTGTTTGGTAATATGAGTAGGCTTGTAGTAAAAATAAAGTCACTTCCATAATTAAAGAATGTCACCTTTATGCAGAATAAGTCTTTTAAGAGCTAAAGACTTCTTGCATAAGAATCAACTCGAAATTCTTAGAAAACAGTCAATTCTGTTTTCTCTATACTCTATATATGTGTAAGGTTTTGTCTGGACTGGACTTTTTTTTTGAGGTAAAAGAATTTCAGTGATTTGTCACCGAGTTATCCCTTTTCCATGTATGCCAACAACTGTAGTGTCGTCAGACCTAAGACTCATACAAGACACTTTCTCAGAGAATTATAAATACAGAGCATGACATTTCCAAACAACTCATTACAACAGGAGAAACAAAATGGAATTAAAAAAAAACAAAACCAAAATAAAACCAAAGCCTAAATAAAGTGTGATCATTTTTGCAGATGGAAAATGAACAGGAACATCCAGAATTCTCCAGAAGGGACCGGACTTGTGAATGTACTTGTTTCCCTATCAACTCTCGATTCTTCACAACATTTTCTCCTTGGAATAGCAATGACATTCCCTTCCTGAACTCATACTTACTGGTAGGAATTGAGAACACAGCCTCAACACCTGATGAACCAATTTTTCTGCAACAATTGTTCTTGTGGAGTCAGGTGTAACTTCCTGGATGCACAAACTACTGGTACTTTGTCCCGTGGCCTCTGGTCTTTACTCCAAGTGCCCGGGGAGGTCACTCCAGAACAGGGAGTGGCCATAGCCAATCAGCTGCACCACTCCCTGCCTTTGCAGGCATCCAACTCAAGAGAACAGTGAAACCCAGGCAAGAGGAACGTTCAGCTTACT